AGGAGAGAGGACAAAAGAAGCCCAGAGCCAGAGCCCCAGGGCACCGCAGTCTTTGGAGGTCGAGAGATGGGGAGGAACCAGCCGAGGAGCCTGGGAAGAAGCCATCATGGGGTTAGAAGGAGCCAGAGGAAGAATGGCATCCCGAAGGCCAAGGTCCTATGTGGGCCAGCAGCTGTGATGCCGGGAGAGCGAGTGCAGGCTGCCGGCCGGCCACTGCCTTCCCAGCGTCCCTCAGCAGCTCTTTCCTGAGCATGGGGAGGACTCGGATGCAGACTAGAACCCCGCTATTATGAAGGGACAGGGACAGGACAGTGACGGTCCCTTCAGCGTGCAGTAAGCGTGGGGGAGCTTGCGTGCGAGGTGGAGGTGCGCAGAGCCAGGCCTAGAGGGTAGCGCTCTAGGGGGCGGGGTAGACCTCTCAGAGAAAGAGGCACCCAAGCTGGATGTCAGAAGACGGTGGGATCTCATACAGACTGTGGGGTGGAGGCCAGAATGGCTTCTCGGGCAACGAGCCATTTGAGGTGGACTCCAGATTCCCACATGAGAAGGTGGAATGGGGAAGGGAATTCCTAGCAGAGGTATAGAAGAGTCACAACAGTAGGGTGTATGAGGAGGCCACAGGGAATGACAGGTGGCCCGTTTGGGTTGTAGGGCTCTGGCCTTTGGAGCTACTTAGAGACAAGGCTGAAAGGTTGGTGGGGAGGGGGTATGAGAGAGGCAGTGGGAACCCTTGACCTCCGAGAGCTCACAATCTGGCTGGAGAGGAGACAGAGCCCCACAGTGCAGGGAGGGAGAGCGCCCAACCCAGAGGCCCAAGAAAGCACTGTGGGCACTCTCTGGTTAACTAGCAGAATTGGGAAGGCTGCCACTGAGAGGCAGACCTTGAAGAATGTGTAGGCTTTGAACATGCCAAGACGCACAGAGAAGCTTTCTTGGCAGAGGAGACCACACGTGCAAAGGTATGGAAGCAGGAGTATGCACTTCTTATTGCATGGGTGCTGGGGAGCCGTCGCAGGTTCCTGAGCTGGGGAGAGACACAGTTGGATCTGTTTTTAGGAAGACAGGTCAGACAACAATGTATAGGGCGAATCATAGGTGAAGGGAAGGGTCCTGAAGGTAGTAGGACCCTCTTGGAGGCAGCTGCACACCCAGATCAGGGGTAGTGATGGCCTCAGTGGCAGATACAGGTGGGACCCATAAGGCAGTTTTCCTTTAAGTTGGGCCAAGGGCTTTGTAAGCTGCAATCTCATGTCCACACTGCCCTGCAGGGCAAGGGAGAGAGCCAGGAATGTGGTCATACAAGCCCTCAGTGACCCAGGAAGACTTTGTGGAGGGGCCCAGAGCCAGTTAGGGGCAAGGAGGGTCACATGTACCCAACATCGTGCCAACCCCTGTCTGTCCACTGCCCCATTTAACCCTCCCAGCAGCCTTCTGAGGTTGATCCTACTGTCATCCCCGTTTTGCAGGTAGGAATGAGGCTCAGAGGTAAAATGACCTGCCCCCGCGCACAGCTAGTATGTAACGGAGCCAGGATTTGAACTTGCATCTCCCTGACACCAAAGCCAGCCTTGCAGCCACTGTGTGAGGTTGCCTTGCAAAGGCTTTATTCAGTAGCCAAAGATCAGAACAGTAGGGTGGGAGCATCCCCTATCCTCCCACAGGAAAGGACAAGGGGGTCTCCCTTCCCTATTTCCTGGCCAGGCCACTCTTTCAAGGTGAGGTAAGGGACCCCAGAAATAACAGTAAGCTGATTTATGAAGCACTTATTCTGTGCCATGCATGTAGAGCTGTATTTAGGCCAGGTATGTAAATGGTGTATTTGTCTTTGCTCAGCAGCCTGCAGTGGCTCCCCAGGGCCCTAACCCAGTGGTCTTAATTTCATTTTACACATGAGCACTTAGATGCTTAGAGCAGATATGTTGTTGGCCCGTACTGGGATTTGAACCCAGAGCTGTCTGATTCCTGGGCCTGTGTTCTTTCTAACACACCTCACTGCTTCCTACCCTGGCAGGAATGGGGAGGTGTCCTTTGTGAACCCCAGGGGTTCGGAGCCGGAGCTAGGAGAGTGGATCAACACGGAACCCACCCCAGAGGCAGCCCCAGGGAAGCATCCAAGCTGGCTGTGTGACTTTTTGTGCCCTGTTGGCTCTTTGCATATAAATCATGGGCCTGTTTACTGAACAGGGGGTGTTTCTTTCCCCTGGGCGGCCGCAGGTGCAGATAGGGTTGAATTCAGGATAGGACCTTCTCTCCTGCCCAGCCTGGCCACTGGATAAACCTCTGGCCTGGAATGAAAGGCTTTCTAATAAGTGCCTTGCTGGACTGCAGCTCAGCCGTGTGCCAGGTGGGGGCAGGGGCGGGAGGCCAACCAAGAGAAGGATTCAAGAGCCCGAGAGCAGGGACAAGACCTTGCCAGCAAACCTCTTAGAGAGCTGCTTTCTGAGCCGGCTGCATTGAGCGTCCCCAGAGGCGTCAGGGGCAGAGCTGGTCACGAGGAGCCCTGGCTGCCCTCCCGCCTGGCCCAGAGGAAGGAGGGCCCATGGGGTGAAACACCAGGCAGCCCAGGGCAGGATTCAGAAATCAGACACTGGGGGCCGCCTCTCCCCTGGCTTTGAAGGACGCACAGCAGGGCAGGTGGGGTCAGGTTAGCCATCAGATCCGAAGTTTCACAGAGAATTGAAAGGCCCCAAGCTGCCATGGAAAACACATTACCCTCAGCCCGGGGCTGGGCCAGTCCTCCCTTGGCCTAATCTTGAGTGCATCCCCGCCCCTCTCGGGCCCTCATCTGTGAAATGAAGCTGTGGGGCCACAGAGCCGGGAGTGCGGATGCCGGGCCAGCAGCCCGTGGCCTGGGCACATCTCAGCCGACCTCTCTCTGCTTGCCTGAGCTCCTCCACAGGGTAAAGACATCCGGGAAGCAGCTGGGACAAACCAGGAAAGGACCAACTCTAGCTGTTTGGCTTTGATGTGTTTTCCTACCGTCCTTCAGCGTGGGAGGGGCTGAAAGTCTGGAAATTCACTTCAACCCAATTACAGGAAGCCATCCCCAGACTTGTGACTGGGTCGGGAGCCCTCTCCTCCCTCCTCGCCAGCCCTCCCTCCTGGTAACCAGTCCTTTAACCTCCAGCCTTATCTTGCGCCCAGCTTCCCCTCCCTCCCCCTCTCTCTTCCGTTCTTCCCCGTTCTTCCCCACGCAGCGCCCTTTATCAGACCTTGCCTGGGCTGGCGGTAGTCAAGTGTTTGAGCTCCAGAAGGATTCTCTGCCTGCAAAGTCAAGCAAGGGAGCATCTCCTCCTAATTTAGGAGATGAGGCGCTAAGTGTGAGTTCAGGGGGTGCTGGCAAGGCCCACACCTCAGACTCAAGGGGGCTCAGCAAGCTCTAGAGCTTCTGCTGGGGGAAAGCCATGCCTCTCCGTGCTGCCAGCCTCTACAGGGAGGACACTGAAGGAACAATGACTCCTCTTAGAGCTACACTCTGGTCCCTAAAGGAAATTGGTGCTGCCTGTGATGACTCTGTAAGGAGCTGATGGGAGGCAGCCACCGCCTCCAGGAAGCCTTCCAGATGGCACCAGGCATATCTCTTTCTCCCTCCCCTCCTCTTTGACAGGCCTCTATAGCTCCAGGCTCTGGTTGTGCTGGATGAGGTCTTCCTCATTACTACTTCACCTGTGAAAAACTTGTTTTGCAGTTATCTCAGCCTTTACTCCCTGGACAAGAGTCTAATGCCCAGTGGCAGGGGCCGGGCCTGGTAGCCTGCTCTTTGTGTACTCACTGTCCTAGGAAGAGTGGCCATGAAATTTTTGGTTTGTGCATTTGTTTGGTTTCTATGCCCAAACTTTCCTTACTTTTTTAAAAAATGGAAATAAATCTCTGGTTATAAAAAAAGAAACCATGAGCTGAAGAAATCAAAAAGCACCTGTCACCTCGGCACTCAGAGATGAACACCGGATCACATCGTTCCAGACTAGTTCTGACAGTTCACACTTTGCTTTACAATAAGGAAATTTTACGAGGCGCTTTTTTTGCAACCTACTTTGTTTTTTTGTTTTTTTCCTTTTTACTTAACAGATCTCATGGATATATCACCAAGTAAATAAACACAAATCTATCTCACCTGTGTGAATGGCTGTATAGTGTCCTATTTTATGTTTAAGCCACAATTTATATAACTAATTCTCTCTTTCTTTTTTTTTCTTTTCTTTTTTTTTTTTTAGACGGGGGGTCTGTTGCCCAGGCTGGAGTGCAGTGTCACCATCACAGCTCACTGCAATCTCATGCTCTTGGGTTCAAGAGATCCTCCTGCCTCCGCTTCTCAAGTAGCTGGGACTACAGGCACGTGCCACCACACCCAGCTTTTTCCATTTTTTATAAAGATGGGGTCTCTCCATGTTGCTCAGGCTGGTCTGGCCTCAAGCAATCCTCCCACCTTGGCCTCCCAAAGTGCTGGGATTACAGGTGTGAACCACCATACCCAGCCTATAGAACTAATTCTCTGTTGTTGGAGACTTTTTCCCAACCTTCCCCCATTACACATGATACTACAAATATCTTCCTGATTATATATTTATGAATATCTTTATTTTTTTTCTCTTAGAATAAAATGAGGAGGAGAATTGAAGGGCAGGAGGACTTGCACATTTGTTAAGATTTTTGTATGCCAACGCAGAGAAAAGGAGACGCCCAAGTGGCACTGATAGTTGACTCGCTGACCGTGAACGAGTGGGCCAAGGTCTGGGAAGTGGCTCAGCACGGGGGCTCGGTCTCCCCAGCTGCTCTTTGCTGCCCCCAGGAGGAAACAGCCCACGGGGAGTACGCTGCGTCCCAGCCTCGCCTTCGCCGGTGACACGGGAGTCTCCCAGGGTCGTGTCTGGGTCCAGCCTTTGCCTCAGAGCCTGCCCAGGCACTAGAGGGGGCCCAGGGGATGATGGCTTGTCTAGTTGGGGATGGAAAGGATAAGAATGACCCTGGGTCACGCCTGTGATTCTCTGCCTGCAGGAGGCCTCAGTGGGGCGACGGTCATTGATTCCCTTGACACCCTCTACCTCATGGAGCTGAAGAAGGAGTTCCAAGAGGCCAAGGCCTGGGTTGAAGAGAGCTTCCATCTGAACGTGGTGAGTCAGAGACCCTTGGGTGTTAGGACCAGAAGGGGCCCAACAGGTCCAGCAGCCAGTTCCTCCCTGTCATCGCTGACACCCAGAGATGTCTAGGGTCTCACACAAGGCTGCACAGCAGAGCAGTCCCGGAACCAGGGCTGTGGTGCCCTCTGTACTGAGCTCCTCCCTTAAGGCCAGCCTTGATGTGGGGACATTCCTCCAGCCCAGCGTCTTCCTCTGACAGGGAAGACAGCCACCACCATCCCTTTCCTCCCCAAGATATCGGGCATTGCTCATCGTGGGCACGGTGCTCACCCCCGGGACAGCCCTCTAGGGCTGGCTCTATCACGCAAAGCAGCCAACAGCAGTAGCAGCAAGGGGGAAGTGGCTTTGTGGAGGGGAGAAGTAGCTCCAAGCTGCTCCAGCATTGAGCTGCCACGCTGCCCTCTTGAGATGGTGGCAGGACAGGGGCGCGGTGGGGGGGTGTTGCATCTAGTTAGAGGCCCATGACCAGGCCCAGAACCCTCTTGGTTTCCAGCCTCACAGGCACGCCTGGTCAGGGACAAGGGCCTTGCAGAGGGGAGAGTAATGTGTCTGGATGGCACAAAAGCCTTGAACAGCAGGCCCCACCCCACTGATCTCTCAGCCCAGATCAAGCAAGACGGGAGGGGCAGAGGGGTGGCATCCAAACATGCTGCAGGGCTGTGTGCAGCTCCTTGCAGAAGTGAGGCCTCTGCCCCCTTGAGAGACGGAGACAGTTTGCCAGCACAGAGCGTGGCGGAGAGACAACCGGGAGTCTGGGAAGGCAGCACTTCGGGGGAGCTTCCTGGGAAGGCAGAGTCCTGCCTGTCACATAGCCCTTGAAAAAGTCATTTAACCTCCCTGAGCCTTAATTTCCTCCACTGTACGACCAGGATGACGACCACAGCAGTAATAACGCCTAACGCATAGGCTCACTGTGAGGATTAAATACAGCGGAGAGCTGTAAACAGCGTTTTATGATACCATGCAGTCCGACACACATGGAGAGTGGTGTCGTCATCATCAACAGTTGTTGGGATTACCCTGAGACTGTCATGACTTCTGGTAGTTTGTGTGAGGCTAAGGACATTCAGAATTGTTCCCATTACCTCCTCTGTCGAGCTGGGGAAGGGCAGAGGCAGCAGAGGGAAGGAGTCTCTTCATAGGCCCTCCTCGTCCCCCCACTCAGGCAGCTGCCCAGGGCCCCTGGGGAGCCTGGGGACACTCAGGCAGGCTGGGGCAGGTTAGGGAGTGTCCCTGGAAGAAAGGAAGGGGGACCTTGCTTTCTCCCAAACTGACAGATGAGCACTGTTGCTATCAGTAATAAAGACCGGGATGGGGAGGGTAGGCCGGGGAGCCCTCTGGGGCAAGGCAGGTCCCAGCAGGCTCTGGGCAGGCCTCTCACCTGCAGCACCCCTGAGTCCCACATCCACCCGCGTGGGAGGCATCGTCAGCCCTGCTCTGCAGGTGAAGAAATTCGGACAGGGAAAGGCTAAGTATCTTGTCTAAAGTGCCGAAGCCAAGTAAGTGGCTCAAGTGGGATTTTAACCCAGATCTGGTCCTTGACATGACGCCTCAACACTCCTGATGTGCAGTCCCAACTTGGAAAGAAAATAGCAATGGTGAAGGCAACTGCGGGCGTGCCCTGCAGGCTCCGGAGCTGGGGCCCTGACAAGTTGCTGGTTTCCCACCAGCATCTGCCTGGCACCCTCCTGCTCAGCCCCGCCCTGCCCCTGTCCCCCTTGGGCCTCCTGCTAAGCGGTAGGGCCTCCCCCGGGAAGGAGAGGTGGCCGGACTATAGGAGGATTTGACTCCTCTCAGGCTGAGCTTCAGCCAGCAGCTCCCCAGGCAGGTGCTTGAGCTTCTTGGAGTGCAGCCAGGCATAACTTTGCTCCCATGGCCTCGGGCAAGGGCTGGGGAAGGAAGCCAAGGCCAGCATTGACTTGGAACGCTGTAAATGTGCAGTAGCCACCCACCGCCAGGCCGGTGCTGATTCCTCTCGACTTTTGCTACGAAAACCACCACCAAACATTTGCTGCCGGGCCCACTGGGGTTGCCCTGGAACCAGGCACAGGTTGGGGGCCGGGGTGACCTGTCTCAAGGGACCGGCTGCCTGTGGGAGCCCTACAGGCATCTCACAGGTGTCCCCACTGTCCTCCCTCCTCTGTCCTACAGAGCGGAGAAGCATCCTTGTTTGAGGTGAACATCCGCTACATCGGAGGGCTCCTCTCAGCCTTCTACCTGACCGGGGAGGAGGTGAGTTGGCGCTTCGCGGCCCCTGAACTCTCCTGGCTGGGAAGGGCTTCCCGTTCATTCCCCCAATGGGAAAAGGGCCTTACAGGGGCAGGGGATTTCCCGGGCCACCCCGTCCCCCCATGAGGGCCTGTTTTCCAAGTGCCCCCTGAAGACTCTTCCTCTCTCTGATGCCCCAATTCTCCTGTGCAGGTGAGCCCAACTGGCTCCCAGGTGGAAGTAAATTCTCTTAGGGCAACAGCTGTGTCCACTCAGACTCCGCAGCTCCCAGCAAGTTCCTGGGCTGAGTTTCACGGGTGTTGTTTCTTGGGATTGACAAAGCCAAGGCTGCATTCACCATTTCCACCCCAGGCCCGCAGGCAGTGTCCTCCACAGCTGCCCCCTCCTGGGCCTTCTCCCAGCCAGACAGGTCTCGGGGGGCGGCAGGGGAGATGGGGCAGCCACGGCTGGTCACATGACATAATCTCAAGGCCTTGCTCCCAGGTGAGGTGCGTCGGCTTCCAGAAGGAGGGCCACGTCGGGTGTGTGGCGAGAAGGCAGAGCCAGGTGCTGTCAGGGAACCTGGACCTCAGCCCCGCACCACGCTCCCTGCTCGTGGCCTTGGGCAAGGCCCTTCTCCCACCCTTTCCTAGTACCCCTAAGCTCAACGAGCTCTTACAAAATGGGGTAGGAGGGCAAGGGTGTGACCCCAGGGCTGCTGGCTCCACAGCCCATATTCTCCTCTCTGCCGGGGCATCTGGGAAACCATAGAGCTCTGTGGAAGCGGGCGGCTTCTTCCTGCCTCCTCAGGAGCTTACGTGGCAGTACAGTGGGAGTGTCTGGGGTCCGGTCGGCCGAGTCCCCAGAACATCTGTCAGTGGTCAGTTCTGTTCCCCGTTACTCAGAGGGCTGCTGTGGGGCCCCGGCTCTGTCCCCCCGAGACAACAGTTACGCCGCCTCCACCGCCTGAGGAGCCGTGGAGGTGAGGCGAGCAAACCGCAGAATAATCCCTCTTCACCTCGCCGCTGTTGTCTAGAAAGTCTTTTCTGCTTCCCTCCAACTATTCAGGCCGCGCAGGCTGAAGTCAAGGGTTTAGCGCAACTGGCGTGCTCTTTATCTCTCCGGTCGCCTGGGCCTCTCTCCATCCAGCATAATCTCCTCTGCAGAGATTATGGCTTGTACCAATTTGTCCCCAAATAATTGTAGATGGGAGCCCTCAGCTTTGAACCACCCAAAGCCTGTATTTCATTTGAGAACCCCAGGCAAGAAAACGAAGGAGCAAAAAGAAGGCGTCTGCATTCTTCACGGCGTTTGCCCAGCCTGGCCCTGTTCGGTGGAGATGGGAAGGAGGGGAAGGACGCAGCTCGGGCTCACAGGGCTTGGCTTGGGGGTCAGTGGTTCAGGGAGGACTTGGTGGCTTCTCAGGCCCATCGCTCTTCCGTACCCCTCCCACCCTCCCCTCCTTCCCCGAGGGTGTCTGTGCTTCTGAGAACTTGCGTTGAGGCCTGGGCTCCCTAGAGGGGAGCAGCAATCTGACTTGGAGAAACAGCTCAAAGGGCCCAAGGAGAGGCCGGCTTGGCCAGACCCCTGGGCAGGCGGGCTCCTGAGTCTACCAGCGCAGCCCCTGCCCACAGCCACACCTTCGTGAGCCCTTTCTGTCCCCAAGCACCTGCCCATGCCAGGTAATGCACCGCATGCCCTACATGCACGGCCTTGTTGGAGCCGCAACAGTCTATCAGTAATTTGTGGATGAGGACACGGAAACTTTAAAGTAACTTGATCAGGTTGCACGGTCTCTGCAGGCTGTGTTGTGCCTACTCCTGACCCTGCAGCCTTCCACCGTGTGCCTGGGTTGTAGCCTGGCCCGGAGTTACTGCTTGTCACCAGGGCTCAGCCGTACCAGACTGAGGCCTCCCTTCTCTCTAGTCCTGGAGCTCACACCCTGTGGAGTCTTTCTGTGCTTCAAATTTCTCACAAATGTTTGTGGAATGAATATTGGGAGACCCCACGCTTCTTCCTGGTCTGAGGCCTCTCTCTTCCCTCTGTAGCTACAGGAGGGGGATCCCCTGCTGGGCAGGCCAGTCCTACTGACATGCAGCTCCCACGAGGACAGCAGACATAACCACAGCTGCACCAAGCGGTGTTGGCACCACACTTCACAGTTTATAAAGCACATTCATGCACATACATTTTCTCATTCGATTTCCACAAAAACGCTGTGAAGCAGCCAGGGCATGGGAGACAGTGCATGGCCCACCCAAGGTTACACAGCTGCTAAGTGGGAGGATCTGAACACAGGCGCTGACTCCCAGCCCCACCCTTTCCACCCTGCAGAATATATCATTCTTGCTGGTTTCTCTCACCCCTGTTCTGGAAGTGTGGCCACTGAGGCCATGTCCCTGTGTTGGACAGGCAGCTTGTTCTGGAAAAGAGCCACTGAATAGTTCCACAACCCCAGGCACGTCGCTTCTCTGAGAGTCAGTTTTCTCATCCTCAAAGTGGGTCAGCACCTTCCCCATAAGGCTGTTGCCAAGACTGAAGGTAACTCACATAAGACACCTGGCGCTCCTGTCCTCACCGCTCTCCCGGCATCCTCCCGCCGTGCCCGCTGGTGCCGGGCCTTCTCTAGGGCCTCCAAGGGAGGAGACGTGGCTCACAGCAGACAGGAGCATTGAGGAAGAGTCGGCTCAGCTCCTCAGGGCCGAGGGCAGCTGCCTGGAGTCGCAGCGTCCAGATTCCCATTCTAGTGGGTTCGTTTGCTCGCCGTGGGCCGGCTTTCTGTGCCTCTGTGGTCAGCCTCCCCAGAGGTCAGGCGAGTCTGTCAGGAGCATCAGATGAGACCCAGAGCCCTGAGAGCCCTGGTTGTTGCTAAACCAGTGGCTTCCAAACCTGGCTGTGCACTGGACTCCCCAGAGAACAGATCTGTTGTTCTGGGTGACTCAAGGCTTCAGAACCCAGATTCTAGACCAACTCCCCAAGGGATCTGATGTGGCTGAAGGGATCAGAAGTGTCCATCTCTGGGGCCCACTGGCTGGCACTGGACATTCTCATCTTCTCTGGCCCGTCCCAGCACAGCCCTTCCCTGCCTCTCTCCCTCAGCCAGAGGACCACCCCTTAGAGGCCTCAAGTCCATATCCCAGTTTAAAGTGTCCTGAAATTCCTCTCCCTCTGCATTCATTAAATAGCTGCCTCAGCAATTTGCAATCACTGGGGTTGGGGGAGGACTCAGGAAGAATCTGTTTTGCAACAACCACAGGAGGTCAGCAAACTGGGTCACCCTCAAGCTCCAGAAGCAAAAAGACCCGTGTGTGTCCCACTTGGAGGGGTTGTTTAGGGGCTTGTGTCTCAGCTTTAAAAACAAATAACATTGGCCAGGTGCAGTGGCTCACGCCTGTAATCCTAACACTCAGGGAGGCCAAGGCGGAAGGATTGCTTGAGCTCAGGAGTTCGAGAGCAGCCTGAGCAAGAGCAAGACCCCCATCTCTACTAAAATAGGAAAGTTAGCTGGGTGTGGTGGTGGCACATGCCTGTAGTCCCAGCTACTCAGGAGGCTGAGGCAGGAGGATCACTTGAGCCAGGAGTTTGAGGTTGCAGTGAGCTATGATGATGCCACTGCACTCTAGCCACGGTGACAGAGTGAGACTCTGTCTCAAAAATAAATAAACAAACTTCATTTTTATTATAAAAATCACACAGAAGATAGAGACGAGCCCAAAAGAGAAAATTAAAACCATCCACAAGCTTACCCCTCCACGAAGACCATGATTCATATTTTGGTGTATTTCCTTCCTTTCCTCATGCATCCATACAATTTTTTTTTAAGTTGAATTACTCTGTTTTGAAATGTCTTTCTGTTAATAGATTACAAACCCTTTCCTTCCTCTTATATATTCCTCTGTGGCACTATTTGAGTGGCTGCACGGTATCCCGTTGTGCGGATGACCCGTCATTTAGCCACTTCCCTATGTTTGATATTTTAGAGTGTTTCCATTTTTTCCCACTATTCTAAACAATGCTAGAATACACACCTATAAAGTTAAATCTTTACAACATCCTTGATTATTTAGTTCCTTAGAATAAATTCCTACGAGGGAAACTGCTGAGTCAGAAGGTCAGAGGTGCTTTTGACTTACTCAGGCATCTCAGAAGGACGGTTCAAGCGGGTCAGTGGCTCAGCGGGGCTGTGAGGCCTGAGACCCCTTTGTGGCTCCCTGGCTGTGCTGTGGGTGGGTTGGGCTAAGCCGTTCACCCTCTCCCCTCATCCCCATCTGTGAAATGGGAACAGTGGTGGAATCAGCGTGTCAGAGAAGGAAAGGCCCTGCCTCTGCCCCTACAACCGGGAAGGGAAACTTGCCCGGGGGTGGGGTTCTGGGTCCTGGGGGTCTTGGCCCCCTGAGCAGTGATCTTTACACTCTGCACAGACGGCACCACCTGCTTCCCACGTCCTCCACCTGTGACGTCCTGGGCTGCAGTGTGGGCAGGCACTGCCCATCGGGGACCAGCCGTCTTAGCCAGGTCTTCACCTGGACTTAGAAGTGACTTCCTCCCCTCTGCCCTGCCTGCTTCTCCCTGCATCTTCCCAGTGGTCACGTGATCACAATTCTATTTGTCAAGCCTTCGTCAGAGTTCTGACACTGTGGTAAATGCTTCACAGCGATTACCTCATGTTCATCCCCACCCCCAGTTCTCTGAGGAGGGCAATAGTATCCTCATGCTGGGGACGAAGGAACTGAGATTCAGGGGAAGTGCTCACCGACGGCCAGGGAGGCAGTGGTCAGAGGGGCAGGTGCCCAGCCAGGCTGGCTCCGCAAAGCCCACGCGCTGCTGCCCCCTGCTCTGGCCACAGCCCTGGCGGGTTGATCCTGCCAGCAGCAGCTTTTTGGTGTGACCTTGCCCCACCTAGTCTGGCTTCACGATGCCCTTTGACCCTTCCTTTACAGGTGTTCCGAATAAAGGCCATCAAGCTTGGAGAGAAACTCCTACCGGCCTTCAACACCCCCACAGGAATCCCAAAGGGCGTTGTGAGCTTCAAAAGGTAGGGGCCTCTCGCCCCCAGCGTGGGGCTCGGCTGCATCTTGTCAGGGTGGGGCCTGGTGAGGATGCTCCGGGGGCAGCTGGCAGACAAGCAGGAATGGGGCCCTTGCGATCGCCTTTGTCAAACCCATTCTCTTACAGATGTGGAAACTGAGGCACAGGGTGAGGACAATACCTGCCCTGGGAGTGACATCGAGTCAGTGGCACAGTGAAAACCAGCCTTAGCGGAGGACTGTCCTGGGCAGGTGTTTGTCACCAAACCTGGCTCTGGGGTTTGGGCTTGATCTTCCCACAGTGGGAGGAGGCAGTTTTTCCTCTGTGAACATCCCACGGCACTGCCTGACTCAGAGCCCTGCAGGTTGGCCCCAACCACCCCCCCCAGGTAGGGTTCAGGAGCCCGCAGGCACATCATATCCTCCCCCAAGGAGGAGATCCCCGGACCTGCTAGGTGGTCTTAGGACCCTGCTCTCCTACACAGGAACCTTGCTCTCAAGGAGCCCTAGCCGCTGTCCCTGTGCTGTGTGGGGCAGACCCCGGGAGACTTCGTAGAAGGCACGTGGCCCTCCAACAACCCCAACCTGTACCCATCACACTGGACTTCCCATCCCATCCTGAACTGATTTCTCATCTCGGCTCTCAGGCCCACCAGAGCTTCCCCTGGGAAGGGCAGGCAGGGCCCTGGGCTCTGGTTAGAGGCTCCATAGCTCTGTCTCTGTCCTGGGGAGGCAGCACCATGTATGTCGGCCTCAGTGGCTCCACCACCCTTCTCTGGTCTTGCAAAGAGAGGACTTGGCATGTTCAGCATCTTTGTCCTTAGTGATCGGGAGGCATTCCCAGCATGCGATCTCACTGAAATCTCACCACAGGCCAGGTAGGGACCCTCAGGGGCCGATGGAATCCCATTCCCAATGTGAAGATTGACTCCGCAGAGCCGGACATTGGATCTCTGCTCAGATTCCTTCTCCACAAACACTGATCCTGGAGAGACAGCCACTGCTGTGAAGCCGAGACACAAACTCACTGCCCTTCTGGCTCCCTCTCCCCGGGTCTGGGATAGGACCTCGTCAGGGGCATCCCTCCCTCTTCCGTGCCCCAGCCCTGGCTATCTGCCTCGCCCGTGTCCCTCAGAGCACAGACCTGATCTGACACAGATCCTGACATTTCTGATTAAGGAAGCGTGTTTGCTTTTAGGCCGCTTGCGAGGTGCTGGTGCTGTGTGCTCATGTATATGTATGCGTATTTCCTGGCTGCATCTCCCTTTCATTTTCTGGGTAAAAGTCTGTTGCTAAAAATGCCTCCCTGTTCCACCAGGGAGAGTGACGGGGCTGTATATGGCCTGCGTGGCGCTAAGTTTGCTCTTTGGAACAGGCCTCCTGGTGGGAGCCAGACCACTGGTGCTGGCCCTGTGGACATCCCTGACAGGAGGATGAGAACTTAGTCCGCACAGGAGGGGTAGGTGACCAGGCCCTGCCCCAGCACTTCCAGGTGGGAGGACCCTGAGGCAAGGTGGTGCCCACACTGGAGAGAGCTGCTCCTCCTCCCTGGTGTCTGCACAGGCAAAGGCAGGGCCAGCATGACCTGGGACCTATAGGGACCACTGGACCATCTGAGAGAGTGACAGTGGCCAGTCCAAGGACCTCTGCAGCTGAACCAATCCCTCTCCCTGGTGCCCTGTCACACACAGCCTCACACACACACAAACACTCTACTGCCACCTTTACAAATCATAAAGGCCCAAATACACAAGCTGGCCTCTGTCACAGACGCTCTCAAATCTGCACACAGACATACGCATTCACACACAAATAATGTTTACACACATGTGCTCCTGCCACACACAAATATACACATCTTCACAGTTGCTAACATCTGTTAAATACCATGTATCAAGCATGATGTGAGCACGTGACATGGATTCTCTTTCCAACCTCACAGCAATCACAGGGACCCCATTTTACCACCCGAGGCTGGCCACCTGTAATCTTAGCACTTTGGGAGGCCAAGGCAGGAGGATTGCTTGAGGCCAGGAGTTTGAGGCCAGCCTGGGCAACATAGCAAGACCCCATCTGTACCAAAAAAAAATTAGCAGGAGGTAGAGGGAGGAGGATCGCTCAAGGACAGGATTTTTTTTTTTTTTTTTTTGAGACAGAGTCTCACTGTGTTGCCTGAGCTAGAGTGCCGTGGTGTCATCCTAGCTCACAGCAACCTCAAACTCCTGGGCTCAAGCAATCCTCCTGCCTCAGCCTCCCGAGTAGCTGGGACTACAGGCATGCGCCACCATGCCTGGCTAATTTTTTCTATTTATTTTTAGTTGTCTGATTAATTTCTTTCTATTTTTAGTAGAGACAGGGTCTCGCTCTTGCTCAGGCTGGTCTTGAACTCCTGAGCTCAAACAATCCGCCCGCCTCGGCCTCCCAGAGTGCTAGGATTACAGGCATGAGCCACCGCGCCTGGCCAAGGCCAGGATTTTGAGGTTACAGTGCACTGCGATCACACCACTGCACTCCAGCCTGGGTGACAAAGCAACACCTTGTCTCAAAAAAATTAATTTTTATAAAAAGGAAACTGAGGTTCAGAGAGGTGATATAACTTACCTGAGGTCACAAAACAACAAATGAAGTTAGAATCCAGGTCTCTCTGGCTCCAAAGTTAAAGATGACAACACACACAGGTGTGCACACGTGTAGAAGCTACAGCTGGGGGCTTGGGGGGTGCCACTGTGGAGCAGCCCCTCCTGCCAGAGGAGAGGACACAGGCTGCAGGCCCACTTGCACTTACAAGGCTGGAGGGAGGGCAGAGCTTTCCATTGGCCCGGTGGCTCACAGGGCTGATCAGGGGACCTCCTGGTCTCTAGGATGCTGCCCAGAGCAGATGCATTTGGGGCACAAAGTACCTAGGATTTGGATTTGGATTCAGCTCTACTTACTGTGTGACCTTGGAAAAGTGTCTCCCCCTCTCCGATTGTAAGTATCCTCACCTATGAAATAAAGATCATGGTATCTACCTCTGAAGTTGGATGTGAAAGTAAAATAGATACAAGAACTGCCTGGTACATATTAGGAACTTAGTAACAACACATAATTTACGTGTGCACAATTACATAATGATAAAAACTCAGTACTTACCTGCACGATTTATACCTCACAATAACTCTACAAAGCATGGGTGCTGTCATTTAGGGATGCAGAAACTGAGGTCTAGGGCGGTTAACCGATTTGCCTGGGGTCACCTAGCTGGGCCCTGGGGAGCCAGCATCTGAGGCAGGCAGGAGAGAGGCAAGGTGTCCAGACACATGCCTGCCTCTGCTGGGGCGCCCGCACTCCAGGAAGCCCACCTGGGAGGGCCAGCATGTGGGGCAGAGAGAGGAAGGAGAGCATGTGGGGAAATGAGAACAAAGACAGCTGGGGGGCCTCGTGGCTTTTTTTTTTTTAAACCTTGAACTTCCCTGAGAGGGCAGGAAGAATCAATTATTCAGGAAACCCTCTGTGGGTACGGAGGCCCTCACTGAGATCATAAGCAGGAGAGAGACCTCTTGCCTGGCCTGGCAGAGAGAGGGAGGGGGCAGCTCCCTCTTTCCCTCTGGACGACTGCGAACATCTTAGGGTGGGAGGCCCAGCAGACCCCTCCACCACCTCCCTCTGTGAGCCTCAATTTCCTCCTTTGCATATTGGTATTAATGATGCTTTACCTTGTGGGCTTTAAATGAAGTAGTGATGCAAACAGCTTGCAACAGTGCCTGGCATGCTGTGGTGGCTCAATGAACGGAAGCTGTTGTGTTTAGTATCATCCAGGAGCCACGTCTCCCCTCCCGTGCAGCCCATCCCTCCCATACCTTCCCCCTGCCCCACATCGGGGAAATACCCAGGAGATGGGATGGCAGAGGTGGCTGTGTCTACATTTGCTGAGATCATCTGACCCCAGAGAAGATCTCAAAACCCAGGTCCTCCACCCACTTCCAGAACCCAGGAGACTGGGAAGCATCCCTACTTCCCAGGAAACCACATCCCATCCCAAGAATGGAGTTTAGAGAGAAGAGCAGCGTGAGGGGAGCCCCAGCCTCACCCCCAAAAAAGTGGTGCCCCTCAAGGGGCAAACAGTGACCTCCATACCCCACACCTGTCTTCCTAAGTCCTGCCCCTGGACAGGGGGACAGACAGGGGCCAGTTCTTGGGGAGCCAGAGCTGTCCCCAGCAAGGAAGCCCCTCGGCCTGCCCTATCCTAACTGTACCTTGGAGCCCCTATGGATGGGAAGAGGTCACTCCACCCAGCTGTGTCCCCACCCCGTCCTGCACAACCTTCCTGCAAAGACCCTGTCCCCCTCTTGTTGTCCCAGATATCCCACAGGAAAGACAGTCACGATACACATGAGGAAACGGAGGCACAGGGAAGAGAAGCAGCTTGCCCAAGGCCACCCCCATTCTGTACCCTCCTTTTCTCTTGACCCCCACAAAAGCCCAGGAAGGAGGAGGCATTGGCCCAGGAGATGGGCGATATTGTCCTTACCCTGGTTTATAATGCAGAAACTAAGCTACACAGGATTAAATGGTTTGCCCTGGGTCTCCCGCTGACAACTTGAACCTGCCCCTTCGGGCTCCAGATCCCAGGGAGATTGTAAGTGAGAGCTCCTTGTTTCTTACCACATGATCAAAAGAGAGGCAGGCCACCCAGGTCCAGGGTTTGAGCCCACTTTGGGTCCCAGCTGCTGCACGTGCTGTGTGATCTTGGCAGGGGACGTCACTGTCCCGAGCCCGGTTTTCCTCATCCGTAAAGGGGGCAGACATGAGAATTAACTGAGATCCTGCTCTGTACTCTTCCTCTCCAAAAACACCCAGAACCTGAAGTGGTTATCTGAGAGCCTTCTCTGGTGGGTGGGGTTGCAGGGCCATGTTGGAAATACCTACTTTGACTGTCTCTGGGGTATTTACAGGAAGTGCCTGGCTAACAGGTGAGGAAACCTTTTCTCCAAGAGCTACTGCTTCTCTCAGTCCCAACCCCAGGCTTCCCAGCATCTGGCAGCTCAGGTGTGTGGTCATACAGAGCTGCCTGCCCGTCATGTGTCAGTTCTGTGAAATTCCAGGCTGGAGCCATCGTGTGTCCCTGGGGAGCACCAACAGCGTGGGGAGAGGGAAAGGGCTAGGTGGGATCCCTACTTTTCATCTGCCCTGTTCAGACACAAGCCACTGCACTATTTGTCCTCCATGTGCAGAGCCTTCAGCTGGAGGACGGCACAGGGTGTTCCATAGGGTCTTCATGGCCCCTGACAGCATAACTGAAGCCACCTGTACATTTAACATAACTCTGTGCCAGGTTTAGAGCCCCCAGGTCTTATAGGGGCTGCTTGATGATGGAAACAAAGAATATTACAACCCAGGCCTGGGTTCAGCTGCCCTTTAGCAAGCCACATCACTGACTACAGTGTCCTTATCAGGAAATGGGGCCAGGGAGGATGGACAGAGGTTGTGTAGCAACAGCTCCTAGTACAGTGCCTGGCACACAGCAGGTGCCCCCCCCCCCCACTGAGCAGCCACTGTTACTCTCAGCTGACAGCCACGGCTGCTTCTGTCTTTTCAGTGGGAGCTGGGGCTGGGCCACAGCAGGCAGCAGCAGCATCCTGGCAGAGTTTGGATCCCTGCACTTGGAATTCTTACACCTCACCGAGCTCTCTGGCAATCAGGTCTTCGCTGAAAAGGCAAGTCTCCCCCCGGCCTCCGCTCCCTCCCAAAACAGCTCCCTGCTCTTCTCCCCACAGAGAGTGAGGGATGAGCTTCTGGGCATTTTCAGAGGTAAGTGGGGCCTCCCCTCAGATCAGTAAGAGAGCAAGTGAGGGGCCCAGGAGCCCCAAGCCACAGCTAACATAGCAAATAGCAAATTGTGGAAGACCTAACTGTGCCCCAGTGACAGGTGACAGGGAAGGTAAGCGCAAGGAATCGCTAGGATTCTACAGAGGGCAGGGGAGAGACAAAACTCCGCCAGGGAGAAGGTTCTCGCTGCTACACGTCAGCTCAGTGGCAACCACCCACGTGTGAAATCTGGAGAAAGTGCAGCTGAAATCTAGGCACCACCTTGCATTGGCAGGAATTGGCCACCCGATGCAAAAGTCCCCTTTCCAGGGACATTTAACTTTTCCACGTACGATCTGCCTGCCTTCTCCTTGCACGTGCCTGTCTCGCTCATGCTGTCAGCAGGCTGGCAAAGCAATGCCACTCCACAGCAGGTGCCCACAACTGTTCCTTCCTGTTGTTCCCAGGCTGTCCAAGGCCACCTGGGGTGCTGAGAGGCCCTGTCCAGTCCTGTCCAGCTGCCAGTACCTGTCCCTGCTGGGAAGCCCCCCAGGAGGGGCCGTTCCTCAGTGCCACAGCCCTGGGCAGTCCCCACTGTCTGGAAGTGTCTATGTAGGTCTGACCCTAAACCTCAAGAAGGGAAGTGCACACATACCGCCCTTGGGTGGCGCTAGGCTGTGGCAGCCGTGGTCCCTCTCTGAGGACTGCCTGGGGAGACGGATGCCCTGCCCTCCAGAGCCCTCCAAGGAGAACCTTTTGGAGGCCTCCCACTCCCAAAGCCTTGTCTTCCCCCCGGGAATGCCAGCCTCTTAGGCCGGCAGGGGAGCCAAGAGATGGCAGATTCACACCTCTGCCCCCCGGCTCCCAGTCTCGTGTTGCCAGCTAGCCGCAAAGCATCCCCTGGCACGGCTGTGAGGAGAGATTTCTGGGCTTCACCCCAGGCCTTGGCATTTGCATTTTTAATGTAAACTTATGCTTTTTGACTCCAGGATTGGGACCACTACTTACTCAGTGTAGGAATCCACCGCGTGTCCTCGAGAAGCTCAAGAAGAGTTTCTCAGACGTCTTGATCACTCCCTCTGCCACGGAGCTCACTTAAACAGCCCATCCCACTGACAACTCTTCCTACAAAATGTTTTCCTTATGTTTAGAGGGACTCTGGCTGCCTGGGACTCCCGACCTTGAAAGCTCTTGGCATGAGTTTAATCCCACTTCCCAGTAGCTCTCATGGACTGATCCTTCTCCCACCTCCACGCCCCTCCCCCGGCCTCCCTGCTTCCTTCTGTTGCTCTCAGAATGGAGTGGGACAAGGAGCTCACCCTGGTCCCTGGCTAGTCTGGAATAATAGATGCCACTGCCTGAGCGCCTGCTGTGTGCTGAGCACATGAGAGCAGCTCTGATCCTCCCAGCAGCCCCGTGAGATAGGTCTTCCTGGCGTCCCCATTTTACAGAGGTGGAAACTAAGACTCAGAGAGGTGGAATAACTCTCTCTGGGTCATCTCGCTGGTCAGTGTTAGAGCCGGGATTCAAGCCCAGGACTTTCCGGCACCAGAATAACCAGACCAGATTATTACTGCAGGCTGCAGGCTTTTGCTCTCGAGTACATCCGTCTGTCTCTGTCTCTCTCTACATTTACATACTCTGGTTATTTTCATCCCCCAATCATGCCTCCCGCAGAGGCAATTATTGGCAGTCAACAAATTGGCCCAAATGCTAGAAGCGCCTGCACCCTCCGGGGGAGCTAATTTAGCCTGCTTTACTGCTCACCACCAAGACAGTTGAGAATAACTCAGGTACAAGCATATTCCTGTCCCCCATGATGGACTCTGTTAACATAAATGAATATGAAACCTTATGTGGCAAAGCCAAGTGCTGTCCCCTGGAAAGAAAGGTCTGACAGCTGACAGGCTGCTCTCGCAGCTCCTGGCCTTGTAGACGGATAACTCTATTATCATGCTATAGTGTGGTCCCCAAGGAGATTTTTCTTAGGGGGATAGAGCCAGGGAGTAGACGCCTATGGATAAAGCCCCCCTGAATTCCACTTCTCACCCTTCATAACCCCAAAGGTTGCAAACCCAGCCTTTTTTTTGCTCCACTGGGGACAGCCTCTGCTGTGTGGTCACCGCCCTGATCTGCGTTGGACCTGGGGCCTGCGTAGGGCAGGGAGTATGTGTGGTCCGTGGGGTCAGATAGACCTGCTCACGACCTAGCTCTGCTATGCAAGAACCAGGTGGCCATTGGCGGGTCACCAGACCTCTCTGGGATTCGGAGTTCTCGTCAAACTGAGATAATAATACCTCATAGGCTGTTTTGAGGGTTGAAGATAGTGCATATAACAGGTCTGGCTCAAAGGAACTGAGAAACGTTAACAGCTGTTGTTGTTGTTGCTATTAGGATTATTATTAAAACCCTGAGATCCTATTAGAGCATGGGGGGTATTCAGGAGCCTAGGCCTCTCTTCTGAAATGATTCCAAGGGGTCAGATAAAATAACACATTATTAAGTTGAGCCATTTGAAATAGCCAATATTTGACCTTTTTTTTTAATTACCTTACATATTTATCATTTTTTTTTTTGCGGTGAGAACACTTAAAGTTATTAACGCTTAGCGCTAAGCAATTTTCAAGAATACGGCACATTGTTATTAACCATAGTGAGCATGTTGTGCCATAAATCTCTTGAACTTATTCCTCCTGTCTAACTGAAATTTTGTAGCCGTGGATCAATCAACATCTCCCCAGCTCCCCACCGACACTGGTAATCACTATTCCACTCTCTGCCTCCACGAGCGTGACTTTGTTGCATTGCACAGACTAGTGCAGTGTGGAACCTAGTGGAGATCTCGCAGCGCTTGTCCTTCTGGGCGCTTAACGTACCGTCCTCCAGGGTCATACATATTGTTGCAAATGACAGGATTTCCTTCCTTTTTAAGGTTGAATTGTATTCCATTGTGTATGTATACCCCATTTGCTTTCTTCATTCGTCCACTGTTGGACGCTTAGGTTAATTCCATATCTTGGCTATTTGAATAATGCTGCAGAGAACGTGGAGTGCAGCTGTGTCTCTTTGACATCCTGTTTTCCTTTCCTTTGGATTTATACCCAGTAGTGGGATTGCTGGATTTGACCATTTCGACCTATTACAAAGGCAGTTTTACCTAGCACTTACAAATGAGCTACTGTCAGTTATATGAACCCCCTAAAAAAGGACTCCCCAGAAAGGATCCCCCAAAGCAGCATGTAGTAAGTATCGAGGCTGGGGTCAGAAGGTCAGGCAGGCAGTGGGCCTGGGGCAAGGCTGGCCTGGCGGCAGGCAGAGCGGGGTGTCGGTGGACATGGGGAGTCAGGCCCCACCATGGCCAGGCCCGGCCACGCCCTCCACATGCCACAAGGGCAAGGCCATCTCACCACCTCCGTTGGAGCCTGCTGTTCCCTGCGCAGCTCCCCCTTCCTGCCTCGTGGTAAAGCTTCCTCTGTGCATCTGAACCAGCCGCCTCCTGTCCTCAGTGGGCTGAGAGTTGGCTTCTTCAGGAAAGTGAAGGCGCATCTGTTGTCCATCTCTTGGCAGGTCAGAAACATCCGCAAGGTCCTCAGGAAGATCGATAAGCCCTTCGGCCTCTACCCCAACTTCCTCAGCCCAGTGAGCGGGAACTGGGTGCAACGTGAGTATAGAGACGCCGCTGGCCCTTGCTCAGCTGGTTCCTGCCCAGGTGTCCCGGCCCCATGCTAAGCGCCTGGGCCGAGTGAGGAGCGATGTATTTCTCAGAGCCACATAGCCAGCAACCACCCGCCTCCCCAGGCCTCCCGGGGATTTGCCCACTATTATCTGCCACAGTTGCCGTTCATCAAGGCCCTGCCCTGGGCACCATCCGGCCTGACTTCTCAGACTCCTGTCAGTGCCACAGCCTTCTGTCTGTTATGGGGCCGCGGAAGCTCCTTCATTATCCCCCGGACTCGCAGGAATGTCCCTGGTAGAGTCATCCACTCTGGGAGTGGCTCCAAGAGAGGCCACACATCCTTTCCCAGCCCCTCTGATCTGGCTCCCCGTCTAACTTTAATTTTAAAAACTTTTAAAGCAAGGCCTAACTATACAGCAATATAGAAATTCTAGAGCTGTGTAGAAATTCACCCTTGTATCTTAAACCTACAAGAATCAGTCCCAGGATTTTCGGTTGTTCTGTTCAGACACTTGATTCTCAGCCAGGCAGTTGTCCCTCACCGTGGAACAGCATTCACAGCCCCCAGCCCCACCCACTGAAAAGGTAGGGCCTGGGGGGACAAGCAGGTGTGAGGGTGCTGCTGGGTCCCCCAGGCCCCTGGGATGTGTCCCCTGCTGAGAAACCCAGCTCTGGCAAGCAGAGGCAGGCCGAGGCTCCAGCTCTGTCCTCCTGACTGAGGTCCTTGTCTTGTGGTCACAGTCAGCAGGAATTGGCAGCGGCAGGTTCTCTGGCTCTGCCTCTAGGGCCTTCCCAAGACCTGCCGAGAGCCCACCTCCACAGCCTCTGCCCTCACAAGGACCCCCTCCCCTCCTGTTCCCTGGTCTCCAACCCCAGCGAGGGCTCAGGGGCACAGTAGATGGGAGTCTGATTCCGGCGTGGCTTAGGGGAATTCACTTTATCTCTTTGAGCCCTCCTGGTTTCCTGTCCTGCAGGATGGGAGAAGAGAGTGAAATACGTTCTTTGTGTGCCACAGAGAGGTGTAGGAACAATAGTCAAAAGCTGCAGGAAACAGATTTCATCTTCCAAAAATGATCTGGGTTGTCCCAAAGGAGAATGATACCAGCAAGACCCGGAGGGCCAGTCAGTGGCAGGGGCCCTGTGGCGAAGCTGCCAGGCCCTTCCTTCCAACCCGAGCTCCTGCCATCTGCAGGTTCAGGAGGCCCAGAAAATCCCACCCAGGAATTTTCTCCAGGGATGACCTCACCCCACGTGGCCTCCTGCAAAAACCACTTGCAGAAATGCAAAATATTTTTAACCAAAACACACTGCCAAGTCCAAAAGGGCGGGGCGAGAATGAAGGCTCGAATTACGGATTATGGCCACGGGAAGAGACAGTTCGATAACTGTTACTGCTTTTAATTGCAAGGCCTGGCTGGGCAAGGAGATAAACTACTCTCTTGGCCTGAGCTGCTCCAGGACAATGCAGCAAAACCCATAAAAAGAGATGAAAGGGGTGTTGGCTTCCCAGCTAAATAGTTGTGTTGGCAAAAGACAGGGGCGCCCCGCTGGGAAGCGTGGTTTTCTTCTCAGCCTGTGCCAGGGGCTGCAGGTCTGGGCAAAGTCGGCCACATATGGGAAATTGTTTTATATTAATAAAATATGAGTCCGCAGCTCGCCAAAGAGCAGAGGGGAGGTCACAACGCCCTGCTCATCTGGACACCTGCCTTCCCCCTCCCCTAGCTTTGGCGCCCAGGGTCATCTCACGTTTCCTGTGGTTTTTCTTGGGTTTTTGGGTGCGTGTGTATTTTTTTAACACACCACCTTGCATAAGCTTAAGCTCACTCATGTTATTTTCTCTCCTTGAATCCTCAGAACAAGCCCCTAGGCAAGGACTATTAGGCCCATTTGCAACAGCAGAAATTGCAGCTTAGAGAGCACAGGAGGAATTAGGGCTGCAGCCCAGTTATCCAGGCCTCTGCCCTGCCCGCCTCCCATTCCTCCTTGAAACAGAGCTTCCAGGTAACAGAGGAGACCCAAGACCCCCCTGCCGCTAAGACTTCACACCCAGGAAAAATCCGCCGGCTCCAGGTGGCACCAAACACAGATGGAGACAATCCTAAGACCAACCCACTTAGAGCTCAGAGAGCTGCTGAGGAGGGCTCACCAGCCCCTCTGCGTGCCCCTGAGAAACTTGCCCTCCTTGTCCACTGCCCCAATCCCATGCTTTCTTCGGTGGGAGGGAGGTTGCAAGTTGAGATCTCCCTAGTGGGTGTAGGGGTGAGCTCCAGCCTGCGGCTTCCCTGGCATCGTGCCAGCGACTCCCAGGCTTGTGGCTCAGCCCCCCGCTGCCAGGTATGATGAGAATGCAACACAGTTGGGCCCAGCAGAGCCCGTCTCTGCTCGGGGCCCACACACTGGCTGCTGCTCCCTCGTCATGCATCTTATGGCTCCAGAGACTGAGGCCCAGGGTGGGCAGTGGCTTGTCCTGAGCTACTGCAGGTCCACATCTTCTAATTCCCACTCCTGTCCCTCTCCCAGCGTACCGCACACACGTGTCTAAACCACACATGCGTGCTCTAGGGCGGTGGGACCTCCACATGAGAGTTGTCCACCTGAGTCCCCCTGAGAGCTATTCACACATACCCAAGAGGCAGTTGTATCTCAAACACCATGGAACCCCGATGACCTGGCCGCCCCCTCCTGCATGCTGCTGCCAGAGGTAACCCTGGGCCTTGTCTCACACACACTCCATAATCACATAAGGAAATCCAAACTCCTTGGCTTGGCATTCAAGGCCCTTCCCAGTGTGGCTCAGACCTACCTTTCATTCATTCGCCAGTGTTCCCTGGACATCCCTGTGTGCCTTACAGGTACTGGGCACAGAGAGTGAATCATACGCGGTCCCTCCCCACAAAAAGCCCACAGCACCGTCTAGTGGGGGAGGCAGACCCACGCACAGATACTCGTAACACTAAGCCTCGGAGCATCTGATGCCAAGGCGTGCGCCACCGTGGCAGGGAGAGCTGCCACCGAGTGCTTCGGGTGTGGCATGTGCCTTATCTCGCTCACTCCTCGTGGCTGCCCCCCATGGAGGGACCATGAGCAGGGCTGTGAGAACGCTGAGGAGGGCCTGTAACCTGGACCTAGGGGCAAGGAGGGCCTCTCTGAGGAGGGGCACCTGAGCCAAGGCCTGGTGGGTGAGGAAGCATTAGCCACGCATGGTGGAAGGGCATATCAGGCCCAGGTTGGCACAAGCCGAAGCACAGAGGTGAGAGGTTAGGCAGGGAAGGCTGGCAGCTAGGGGTGTTTGCGTGGCAGAGACAAAGGTGCGAAGGGCAGGGCAGGAGATGAGTCTGGATGTGACAGTGCCTTGCCTGTGACAGGGCCCCCTTCTGTGGCAGCAGAGAGGAGAAGGGCTCTAAGCAGAGCCCAGCCCAGTTTGACTTCCAGCCTCCCCCCGACCCCCTGCACAGACCTGCTCCAGCCTGGGACCCGCCATCTACGTGCCAGGCCTGGCCCAGCCCCTGTGTGCTGGCACCTGGGAACGACGGAGAGCAGGGCCACAGTCCTGGTTCTCCCCTCCTCACCAGAGCACAGTCCAGCCTGCACAGCCCCTCCCAGGTGCTCCCGAAGCTCGTGCTTTATCTTGTCTGTTCCAGTTTTTGCAGGTGTGTGTTCCATGCCGGAACCCTTGCTGGCCAAGGGCTTATTTGTGGATCACGGCTGGAGGGGGCCAGAGGGCTGGCTCACTGTGTGACTGGCCTGCTCTCAGCCCCCTTTCCTGGTTCCCATGTCTGTCTTGGTTCTATCTTTTGGTCTCTGTGCCCGCACACTCGTCTGTCTTTCTCCGTGCCTCCTTGTTTGCACTTTCTGGTTGACCGTGTACAGCTGCAGGAAGCTGGGGCTTTACCATTCACCCGCTTGGTGAGCTTGGGCAAGCTGTTAAGGCTCACTCTCAGTTTTCCTATCTGGGAAATGGGGTTGATCAAGTGCTTACCTTACACCGTGCTCAGGAAGATGAGTTATAAATAATACAGCAAAGCTCCTAGCCCACAAGAGACACTCAGTACGTGGTAATTGTTGATGCATCTTCTGTCTTTCTCCCTCCCCTGCCCACGTGCTTTCTACCCCCTCCTTCTCCAGAGGAGTTGAAAACACACTGCCCATCCCCCCACCATACCTGCAGTTCACCCAACTTCCCTTCCCCTCTCTGTCTCTCTGCTTAAGTGAATCAGGACACAGACGGTTTGCTCTTTGTTAAATCTATTAAATGCCTTTATGTTTCCCTGTTGTTAATTTTCAAAGCACGTGAGTGAAGTGTTTTCCACATCTTGGTTCTGTGGTTAAGTGTTCCTCGGGCAACCCGTCTTTCTCCCGGGACAGCCCTGGGTGGAGAGACCTGCTCGTCCAGCCAAAGCCTGAAAGGCCCTGCTCCTTGGGTGATTCTGGGCAGCGTGGCTGGACCACCGTCCACCAGGCAGATGCCACCACGGCAGAGAGAGGTCTTCAAACTCAATTCTTCCCTGCCCCACTCCTTTGAACTCCATTATCCCAATTTGCTAAATTTAAACTCAGTTCTTCCAGAGTGGCTCTTTACTTGAGGATCTGGCTGAGTAAATTAAAGCTCTTGTTCCTCCTGTCCATGGCCTTTTATGAAGCTGCCCAGCATTAATTACCATGTTTGTGAGTGGGTAATAAAAACCTCTGAACTCCCTACCACCAGATTATCTTTTTAAGGAAATGCAACTCATTTACAGATAATAACCAGAGGCCCTGGCATCCTCAGGCTGCTACAGCGCGATGATTTATGGCACCCACCGGATGGGCCCGTGCACTTTTGCACAGGACAGCCACTCTCAAGGCGGCCCTGGTCTCTCCCAGTTGTAGGCTGAGTCTTCCTCTCAGCCCCCATTGGGGCTTGGTGGCTGCTGGTCAGATGCCCACACACAGCACCATGGCCACCCAGGACGCTGTGCCAGCCACCCCACGCCATCAGCCCCGCCGGCGGCAGATGGAGATTACATTCTTTCCTCTTTCCCTCACAGACCACGTCTCGGTTGGAGGACTCGGGGACAGTTTTTATGAATATTTGATCAAATCCTGGTTGATGTCGGCCAAGACAGATATGGAGGCTAAAAATATGTACTACGAAGCCTTGGAGGTAAGAGGCGCACTTGATTCTTCGTGGGCCATTGGCCATTAGCCACCGGCTCTCTCGCAGGCCCCAAGTGCTGGGGGCAGCAGGGGCCAGATGGGCGGAGGCTGGCTCATGCCTCCCCCTGGTGAGCCAGTGAGAAGAATGACATGACAGTCCCCTCCCAGCTGGATGATTCACACCCCATCTCATGACTTCTGAATGCTCTGAAGTTGGGACAGTGTCAGTGCCCGTGTTTTACAGATTTGAAACCCAAGCTCAGGGAGGTTAAGTCATTTGTTCAAGGTCTCATAGGAAGTGACAGTCAATTCAGAAACCATGACTCAAAATCCACCACCCCCATGGTGTCTATGTCTCAGTTAATATATCAGAGCCCAGAAGGCAGCCAGATTTGTGGGCTGGGCCCCCCAGGGGAAGCTGCCAAAGTGAGACCCTCAGCTGTCTTCCTGCCAAGCCAGAGATGATGACCTAATGAGCATGTCCAAGCTGGGAGAGGCCGCCTTCAGTGGGGCATCCAGTTCTGCTCCTTCTCTTTCTGTGGTGGGAAACCAAGGCCCAGAAAGGGGAAGGCATTTGCCCAAGGCCACACAGCACAGAACTGGCAAAAACGGCATCACTGCTGGTCTGTCCCTGGAATATGGAATGAACAAGGGATGGCAGACTGAGAGTCCCTCCGAACAGGGAGAAACTAGGACAGCAGGGGAGTCAGACCGAGCTGTCGAGAAGGGGGTTAGGGAATCCCATAGCCCATCAACAGACACCTCGGAGCCCAACTAGTGAAAAGGCACTGGGCAGGCTCTGGGCCTCAGTTTCCCCATAAAGTAAGTTGAGCCAGTTGGATCTACTCTGCCACCACCTTGGTCCAAACCACCTCCTTATTTCCTCTAACCTGGCTTCCCCTCTGCCCTGCCCTGTAAGTCAGTTCTCCGAGAGGCAGCCAGAAGAACTGGAAACGCTTGTCCTTCTCCTCACTGGCTTCCCTCAGCACCTGGAATAGACCCGACTCCTCCTTTACCCGCCAGGTCCCTCCTGATCTGGGCCCTGTGAGCACCCCGACTTCGTCCCCAGCCCCTTCCCTCTACACTCTCAGCTGCTCTGAGCAGCAGCCTTCCTGCCCTTCTTCAGACACACCAGGCCTACTCCGACCAGGGCCTTTGCGCTCGATGTCCCCTCTACCTGGAATATCATCCACGTGCCTGGGCCCACGTACTGGTCTTCGCTCCCCTAAAATGCCCAGCCTCCATGTCACACACCCAGGCGCATCCTCCTCGTCACCTTTATCAGCATCTGAAACCGTCATGTGCACAGATCTGTTTACTCGTCCCTTATCTGTCTTCCCCAAATAGAATAAGAGTCATCCAGGATCAGGGGTCTTGTCTGTTTGTTCACCCCGTGTGCCCCACTCCTAAAACAGTGCCTAACATAATAGGCGTGCAGTAACTATTTTGTAAACGAGTGAATGAATGCCCGGTTGGTGAAAGGATGGGTGGGCGGATGGGTAGCTAGGTGGCCGGGGGATGGGGGATGGGTGTGAGCAGTTGGGTGGGTGGATAGTTGATCTCTACCCTCTGATCACACGAATCTGGCCAGGAATGGTAGTGCTTGAAAGACACACGTTGAAATGGGCCTCTAGAGCCACGGACCCTTTAAACTGTGGGCTCGGCGTTGAGTTTTCCCTGCCTAGCTCCCAGGGACGAGACCGCAGTCATGGAGCAGCTCCTGGGACTCCGGTCCCAGCTCAGTCTGAGTCTCAGCCCTGTCCCCTGCCTGCTGTCAGCTTCAGCAGAGCTCAGACCAGAGCCCCGGAGGATTAGCGTTCAGCTGGCGGCCAGGGTGTGCTGTGAGAGAGGCCCTTGGTGCCTTTCCTCGCAGAGTAAACATGAAGTTAATGAGCGGCCTGGTTCCCTGCCCTCAGGGCACACTGTAGTTGAGGCTTCAAGGGAAGAAATGGCCATGAATTATTTAAGGAAACTGGGAACACTTGATTGAACAGGAGAGAACTTTGAATAGGAGAGGCTTTGCTCCCCGCATTTGATCTCCCTAGCAAAGAGCCTGGAGCAGTTCTGACCCTGGGTAAAGGCTGGGCCTCTGGCAAGTTTGGGGCTTTGAAGAATGTTCTGGTGGTTCTCAACCTTGTTGGCTTGTTAAAATCACCTAGGGAGTTGTAAAATCCTGATGTCCAGGCTGTACCCCTGACTAATTATATCACAGCCTCAGGGCCCCCTGCCCGGGTGACAGCATCTTAAAGATTCTCACTCTGCCTGCACCTTAGGGTCACCCAGGAGCCTTAGAAATCCCATGCTGGAGCCACCCCACCATCCCACCCCTGCCCCAGCTCCCACGGCGATTGTGATGGGCAGTGGGGATTGGAAACCACCAGGTTAGACCAATGTCCAGCTGGGGTGGGCGTGGGAGGTTCACACAGCCCTGAGTGCCACAGAAGGAAGGGCAACAAGATGAAGAACAGGAGCACTTTGGTCACTTTGGCTCCTCCAGGCACACACCCTAAGTGCCTCGTCTTATTCAGCACCTATTTTACAGATGATGAGACTGAGGCCCAGAAAGGCCCAAGATCACACAGCAACAACTATCAGAGCCAGGACAGAAACACAGCTCTGACTGACTCTAAATCCAGTGCTCCTGCCTCCACTTAGCAGCGGCCAGATCGTAGGAGAGCCCGGCTGGCCTGAAATCCCTCCCGGGATGGGGTTCCTGCAGGAGGCATGGAGCCAGAGTCTTTGAATATTTTCTCCTTTAATCCTCATAGCCATTCCAGAAATTATTACTCCCATTTTACAGATAAGCATTACTCCCATAATACAGATTTTTTGAATCTTCAAAAAAGTGAAGTAACTTGCCCAAAGTCACCCAACTCTTAAATTGCAGAGCTGAGATTTGAACCAGCTCTGTGACTCCCCACTCAGCTCCCTACACTGCTCTTTTATTAAAAGGATTTATTCTGTAAAATTTGGATTCAGTCAAAAGGCTGCACTTAAGGATCTAAAAGGCCACATATGGCCTAAAGGCTGCAGGTTCCCCACCCCTGAAACCTTTTGCCAGTTGGTCCCCAGCCTGTGCTATCTTGTATTTTACTCAGAGTTTTAGAAAGCCTCGTTTTTCATCCTTGCCTCTGCTTGTCTCAGTTGTATCCTCACAGAGGCACTGGTTTAGAATCTCCTCTCTGCTACAGTTGCTTAGCTTGAGGCTAACCCCAGATGGAAATGACCTATGGGAGGCATTCTGGAAGGTGCAGGTTTCCAGCCCCAGTGCGAGGCATCCTGGGATCTCCCTCAGATGTCTGTGTTCTCTCCAAAATGTTGACAACTGGTAACTGTGAACCAGGCTTCTGGGCCCTGACACCCCTACCCTGCGCCACATGCTTAGAGATACAAGCAGCTGCCGGGGACCAGCTCTGCCCAGGAGCCAGGCCAGGCCCGGAGCAGACTGCGGCCTGGCAGCCGGGCGGCCCTGCAGGCCTCAGCACTCCCCCCACCTTGGCACAGGTGCTCTGGCATGGTCCGTTGTCAGTGCCTCCCCATCTGCCACTCAGCGAGGGTCCTGCGCCAGCCCACCAGCCCTGGGCCCCGACAGGGGAGGGAAAAGGAAGACACAGACCAAGGAGCAAATGTTGTCTGAGCACCTTACACGTGGCAGGCACTTGATGGAGCCTGCTGCTGGTGGCTCCTGCCGTCACACGGCTCCCAGAGTCCACAGACATTTAACAGAAACATACGCCAAGTACAAATGTCACTCTGTAGAGAGGCGAGGGGACAACAGAGTGACGGGGCCGCAGTGCTGGTTTAAGTTGTGGTGTTCTGGAGGAGGCCTAGTGGCCGAACAGGAGTTAGCAAAGTCGGGCTGGAACACGCAGGGTACAGCTGCTTCGGGAAGGAGGGACAGAACTGGCAAAGCCCCGGGGCCAGAAGAAAATGCAGCCTTCACGAAAGTCACCTTCACAGAGAGACTCCTCTGACCTCGCTCTGCAAAGTGGGGCACCCTCCAGTTTTTTTATCTCACCCCCTCAATTTGTCTCATTCAAAATGCTGATCACAAACCGCACCTTGTGTGTGTGGTTTTGCTGGGAAGTCTCTGCCCTCCTGGGTGAGCTCCCTGAGGCATGGCCATGTCCCCTCTACAGAACAGCTGTGTCCCCAGTGCCCAGCACAATGCTGGCATCCAGGGAATATTCTCAGGGTTGGAGGTACTAGTGTGGCTGGGGTGGGGTGTGAGCAGGGAGGGGCAGGGGACAGACCAGAGAGGAATTAGAGGAGCCAGCATATATTGGGGACTGTGGGTTGGGAAATATGCCAAGCTCTGCAGGCATACTTCATTTAATTCTCACAACCTTGTGGAGTAGTTAATGCTCTTATCCCCACTTTACACACAAGGAAACTGAGGCACAGAGAGAACATGTAACCTGCCCAGTGTCACACAGCTTGGCACTGGTGGAGATGGGATTTGAACCCAAGGAGTCTGTGCCCAGGGGCCATGTCCGCAGCATCAGGTCAAACCTCAGGGTCTAGATCATGGAGTCTTGCAGGTCTTGCTGGACTTTCGCCTGAGGGCACTTGGAAACCACTGAAGGTTCTAAGCAGGCAGGTCATGTGATCCGATTCGTTATTTACCGAATGCAGAGACCCCCTGGAGGGGTGAGGGTGGAGGCAGAGGCGAGGGCCCCAGAGGCTGCCGGCCATGGTCCAGGACTCACCGGCCCATCCAGGCTGGCCTTGCAGCTGTGTGAGCAGCTTCCTCCATCACCTTGGTCTCCAGGGCTCCTGGGGCCCCAATGGCCTGACCCCCGCACACCCTGATATCCCAGAGTCTTTACGAACAGCATCACCCTTCTCGCCAAAAGGAGCAGCTGTGGGGTAGTGGAGGTCCTGGTTGGTGTGGCTGGGGGGCCTGGGACAAACCATTCCACCCGTTTGTCTGTGTGGGGCAGCAGGCCAGGTGCCTGGCTTGCTGTGGACGTTAAATGAGGAAACGTATGATACGGTTCCTGTAAAGAGCAGCTCTTACTTTTCTGCAAGTCCTTTTTGAAAATCTGGTAGCAATAGACAGACCCTCTTCCCAGAAAGATGCACATTCACAAAAGTGTTGGGTACAACTTTAAGGGTGTTCTGAACCCCCGAAACCCATCCACAGGCCAACTGGGCTTCAGGTTAAGACCTCCTAACAGAGGATCTAATGGAGGATGATAATTATCTTAAAATTTATTTTAATGTTTTTTAAAATGTAGAAGATTTTAAAGCCCATGTGAGAACCTCACCCTGGGGAGCTGCCCTTCGTCCGAGCCTCCCAGCAGGCACCAGACTCGGCTCAGCTAGTGGCCGGGCCTCCCGTGGCCCGTCGGGCACCTCCGCCAACAGAGATCAACGGGCCTCCTTTGCCTGGGATGGAGGGCTCAGCAGAGCTGCGCTTACTGCTGTCTCCAAAATGTTCATTTTCCATCCTCTCCCCTCCCTTCTCTGTGCCCTCCCGCGCCCCTTCCTCCTGCCCAATTCCCACCTTGCTCCCAGGCAATAGAGACCTACTTGCTGAATGTCTCTCCCGGGGGGCTGACCTACATTGCTGAGTGGCGAGGGGGGATTCTGGACCACAAGATGGGGCACCTGGCCTGTTTCTCCGGGGGCATGATCGCCCTCGGCGCTGAGGATGCCAAGGAAGAAAAGAGGGCCCACTACCGCGAGCTCGCAGCCCAGATCACCAAGACGTGCCACGAGTCATACGCCCGCTCAGGTAACCCTGCAAGGGAAAGGGGCAGCAGGAGAGACTGAGGCTAGACACCAGGAAGAACTGGAAAGACCAGCAGAGTGGCAGTGAGTGAAGGGAGCACGTAGTCTTAGGGAAGTTTCCCCTTGGAAAGCATGTAGGATTTGAATGAGGGATGTGCTCTCCAGGCCCTGAGATTGTACCCTAAATTGAAGGGGAGATAGTAAGATGCATCAAGCATTTTGTGTGTGCCAGGTGCTATCCAGCCCTTGACTCACATCATCACTGAACCTCACAGCACAGATGAGGAAACTGAGGCTCAGAGATAACTCAGCCAAGGTCCCATGACAGGGGCACAGAGCAAAGGGTCATCGAGCCCCTGGGGCAGAGATGTTGGCCCCCTGAGCCTAGTACATCCCCCCCCACCATAGGGTATCTCTCCACCTCCTGGAACCACCTGCTCAGTCACCCTCTTGGACCCAAGACCACTGGGAAGCTTGAGAGCTTCTTGGCCAACCCGCTCAGGGCTCACCACAGAATTGTCAGATGCTAGAGTCAGAGGTCTCGTTAGAGAGCACCAGCCCAACTCCTTGATTTACACACAGAAACCGAGTCGGCCCAGAGAGGGGAAGTGACATAGCCAAAGTCACGCTGCGCACGAGTAGCTGAGTCTGGGCTGGAGCCCAGGCCTTCTGATGCCCAGTTCCTCCCGACATACTGTCTCTCTCAGCAGTGCCCTTCGGGAAGGTCCCCGGCCCTCCATGGCCCCCCGAGATGCCCACTGCTCTGAGTTGTAACCCCAGCCTTGGTTGGAGGAGAAGACCCAAGGTTTGCAGTAAATATCCCTGGCTCAAGTGCCGCTCTGCCACCACCACCTGGGTGGCCTCTGTTTTCCTCTCTGTTCCATGGGAATAACAAGGCAGGGGTCCCAGAGTGAGGCCGAGGGTCTGTGAGAACACTCGGGCAGCCGCCTCCAGCCAGCAGCGCGGCAGGCGAACGTTGGCAGCCACGGCCATGTGTCTGTGCCTGCTCCGGTTGAAGCTGGTTCTCCTGGAGCTGTTTCCAGGAAGTCAGAGAATTGCAATGGGTCTTTAAAACTGGTCTTCCATTCTCTTCAAAGAGCTCTCTCTGCCAGGACCATAAACAAATAAGAAATCTCAGGAATAATAAAAAGCTCGCTATTCGTCTAGGACAATCAGCCCAGGCCATAAAATACAGCCGCTTAATAGAGCGTATTGTTGCCGCCAGCCCGGCTCATCCTGAGGACGGCTGCGGCGGCCGCTCCTGCCCTCACCCCATTAGCCACTTGGCAAAACGACTGTTTTCTGGTGGCCAGGAGCCGCCGCACCATTTGAAAAGATTGGAGGGGCCAGGGTCTAGCTAATTCCACGAAACCCTCCATGGAAGAGTGGGTGGCTTCCAAGGTTCCAGCCCCTGTCGTACGAGGAAAAGCAACCCAGGGCCTCTCAGGGTTCTGAACTCTAGTGGTGGGGGAGGCACACGTTAGGGACAGAGCTGGGTACTCAAGTGACCTGGACAGGATGTGCAGGCATTGAAGAGAGGAAGGTCTGGCCCACATACCCTACATGTTAAACCCAGAGGGTTAGACCCGGGGTGGGGGGCGAGAGAGAGAGAGCAAGGGTGCCCAGCCCAGGGAAAGGGCATCAGATCCAGGGTCACATCCCAGCTCAGCCATGACTCACTGTGTTATCTTGAGCAAGTTACTTAGCCTCTCTGATCCTCAGTTTCCACATGCATGAGAGAGGGATAGTAGCATCTACCACAGCAAAAAACCATTCTTTAAGGATTGAAATCCTGTATATGCACCCAGCACAGCCCTTGCCAGAAATCGTAAGTAGTGGCTGCAGCGGTGGTTATAATCGTGGTCATGCAGAAAAAACAAGAATGGCAGCAAAGTGTCCAAAGACCGACATAACAATGACAACAACAGAACCAAGACCTCGTAGGGCGGGCCTTCTTTATTCAGTGTATTCCTGGGCAAGTCTTCCCTTCATCTCCACCTCAGCTGTTTCCCAAACTGTCAGCTCTGGAAGGCTGAGTCTGGGAGGTTAGAAGCAATTCTCTAAGAAAAGAGGTTTCTGGAGAAGCATCATTCCACATTAGCATATTAAAGGATCTGATAAGTCCTGTAGACATGAGGCCATATCACTTTGTTTAACCCACTGTTCCTCAAACATTTAAACCTGAAACCCTTTCTTGGCTGAGTTCTGGCTAACCTCTGGCAGAGCTAGTGTCTCAAAATACACAATTGTGGAACATCGCTCAAACTTCTGTCTTCCCAGACTGCTGTGTAGCTTGTTTGCATTCCCAGGTCCGAAAACTGCAAAATTCTTGAGGCCTCAAGGGTCTTGCTTTGGCCAGCCCAGGCCAAGAGAGAAGCTGTGCGTTGGCCCAGCGCAGTCTTACGGGGCAATGCCAGCAGGGCCTGCCCCATCCTAACACGTCACTAACCATCGCCCTGGCCGAGGGTCCCAGGCAACTGAAATCTCTCCTAAAGCAGGAGGCGGAAGGTCTGACCCAGGCCTTCTGTTTGGCTGTTCCCCCAGATACCAAACTCGGGCCCGAGGCCTTCTGGTTTAACTCCGGCAGAGAGGCAGTGGCCACCCACCTGAGCGAGAGCTACTACATCCTCCGGCCCGAGGTGGTCGAGAGCTACATGTACCTGTGGCGGCAGACCCACGACCCCATCTACAGGGAGTGGGGCTGGGAAGTGGTGATGGTGAGTGGGCCCGGAGGGCGGGTGGCCAGGTGCCCCTGAGGACGCACAGACAGGGTCCCAAACCCCCGAGCTCGGGTAAGGAGAGGAAGGCGAAGCCAGGTTGACTTCTGGGTAAGGTTCAGGGGGCCAAGGGTCCCAGCTGGGTTCTAAGTGCCATGGCCTTGGGGCCAGCACCCAAGACTCAGCAAGCGGAGGGGGCCAAAGGCTGGGCAGCTGCCTAAAGCACCGTGTGGCCACCACTGTCCCCGCTTTCCTGACCTGAAGCCTTCATAAATCACTTGGGATTTCTCCTCTCGAATGCCAGCAACTCACCCTCACCTCCCTCTTCTTCCCAGAAATGCCCCCCACTGCCCAGTCCCTCCTAGCCCTCACGGCCCACCCTCCCCTCAGCCCCCAACACCTCACTGGAAATCTCATGGCCTTTTTTGGGGTAGGTGTCAAAGGCGGGTGTGGAGATTCCAGAAGGTTCCTTGATGGACGCTGAGCCTTCTCTGTGCCGCATGCCCCATGCACACTCTGAGGCGGACAAGGCACCACCTGCTCTGGGAAGCACAGGCTGTCCTGGGAGCCATACGCTCAGAGCACCAAGCCCGGCAGGGCCCGGGGGCCACTCAGATCATTGGCGAGGCTGTTGGCCAGAGTCTGCCCGCTTCCCTGAGGCCCTGGTTCTTAGCCTTCCAAGGCCAAGTGTTTTGTACTCCTGTGCGGAGCCCACAGACCCTCAGTGGGTAGAAATTGCATTTACATACAAAGGGCGGACAGCTGGTGGCCCACGGGCCTCGGGCCCAGGATCCAAGTCTTCAGAGAATCCCTGGGTGTGCTGAGCCCATTCCCCAAGTCCCAGGCCGTGAGGCTCACCTGTGGCCTTCCTTGACCTCTGTCCCCCGCTTAGAAGCTTAAGCAGGTGAAGCACTTGAGGCAGGCAGCCCATCGGGACTGAGTTCTCGGAGGTGGGTGGAGGGACAGGGTGGCTGAGCCCAGAACAGTTTGGCCTCTGCTCGCACAAACGTCAGGGTCCCCAGCCGCGGGGCCAGGGGACCTGTCTGTTTTCGGGCTCTGGCCCACTGGGCAGACACGAGTCTTGGGGGCCTTTCCTCTCTCCCTGCTAAGGCGGCCTTCCTTTCCCTCAGGCCCTGGAGAAACACTGTCGGACAGAAGCCGGTTTCTCTGGGATCCAAGATGTGTACAACAGCACTCCCAACCACGACAACAAGCAGCAGAGCTTCTTTCTAGCAGAGACGCTAAAGTGAGTTGGGGCCTGGTCAGCGTTCTTGCCAGAGGGCGATGTGGGCTTTTCCTAGGTGTGGGGGGTTGGGGGGGTGCAGGTCAGCGGTCCCTCCCCTCTCCCACAGCCAGGTTCTGCGTCACAGGACAGGAGCCCAAGGGGGACAGAGGGCTTGGGATCAGAGGGCTGCACCCCAGGCTGAGCCTTGGGCCGGCCAGTGTCGCCACTCAGGGAGTGAGCCTGGGCTGAATCCAACCCCCTTGAGTGTGACGCGTCTGATCGCGCCGGTTACTTAAATTCTGTGCATCCGTGTCCTCATCTGTAAAATGGGAACAGTGGTAACAGCGATGGTTTCCCTCCCATGGCGTAGGCAGTGTTGCTGCTGCATCCTTCCCTTGCTTTCTTGGGGTGGGAGTCGGCTACCCCATTTTCTTGCTGTTCCCCCAAGCAAGGCCTTTGTGCTTTAACCCTTCAGGATGGGTTGGAATGGTCCGTTCCTTCCAGTAAAAAGAATCTCCATGGCCTGGACACTGGTGTGCTGGAGTCACAACTCGCTGTTCGTGTTAGCGCCCTAACACGCACTTGACAGGCGGCTCTCCTGGGCGGAGGGGCTGGTGCCGTACTCAGGCCACTCTGCAAGGATGGAGAGTGTAGCCCCTGGCAGGGCTCTCACACAGGGCCAGGCAGGGGAAGCAGTGAGAGGGTGGAGGCTTGGGGCAGAGCCAGGTTAAACCAGGTCCCTCCGACCCCAAAGCTCAAGGCCATCCACAGCATCTTTCCCCAGGACTAGCACTCCGAGCAGCCTTGGGGTCTCAGGCCCCCCCGACTTTAGCTGCAGGCCCATCACAGAGGCCCTGAGATGTGTTCCCCGTGGTCCACCCTTCTTCCTCAGGGCACTGACAGGCGGTGTCTTGCTTCCTGCCCTGCCTGGGGCACAGGTATCTCTATCTTCTGTTCTCTGAAGATGACGTGCTCTCCCTGGAAGACTGGGTGTTCAACACCGAGGCCCACCCGCTCCCAGTGAACCACTCAGACAGCTCTGGCGGGACATAGGACAGGCACTGACCCCATCTGCCCGCCGCTCGTGGGGCCACCACAGGGATGCCTTTCCCTTTCGGGATTTGGGACTGTTCTCAAAGGGATTGGGAACGTAGGCCCCATCTCGGGCAGACCCCGAGCAGATGTGTCAGGCAAGCAACTTCTTTTCCTCTGTGAGGAGTCAGGACTTGGAGACGCAGCGATGTCAGACAAGGGCCATGGCCACACCAGGCCCAGACATTCCTTCTATGGAGAATTTCTATGAAGCCCACTCACTTGCCATTCCAGAGCCGAAGGACCGGAGGTTTGCGTATCTACCCACATATCTGATTTGCTTCCTTTTGGTTTTTGGGTTTTTGTTTTTGCTTGATTTTGTCTTTTCTCTATAGTTGAGTTTTATCACAATTATAGTTTTCAAAATCATGTGCTTTCTAAAACAGTGTCATCCTGATACATACACACAAAATCTTGACCCCATTATCTATATTTTAAATGCCTTTTGCCCCACATTTACTCCATGTCCAACTATGTGTCATTTACTTTATAATTTGAGGAGGGGTTCCCCTTTGATTTGGGCCTAAGTGTTACAAATCACTAGTGCTATTTTCATTATTGTAATGGGAAAATCTGTGAACCAGAATAAAAGAGTTTATTGAGTAAGAGATATGATTGGGCTCATTGCACATCAGTGATTCCTGGGGAAACCATTGCAATGTTATCATCAGAAAGAATAATCAACCCACAGTTGATTTAAGGTATAATTTAGTAAACAACTTCAACTTCTATCACCTTCCCTTAAATTGGTCCTAACCTATTCAGGAAGCAGGAGGCCAATCCTTCAGGTGGACTTGGGTTGAGCTTTGGAAGAGACCCCGGAGCGGCAACTTGCCTGAGGTCACACACCCAGGAAAAGGCAGAGGCGGGCCTGGGCCCTGCAGTTGCCCGGCCACCCCAGCTGCGTGTGCATCTGCTCCATCAGTCAGCAAATTCTTGGTAAGTGCCTGCAACGGACCAGATCCCAGGCTGGAGGCCAGGGCCACAGCTGAGAGCGGGTCAGGCAGGGAGCCTGCAGTCGGTGGGGAGAGACAGGCCGTAAGTAAACAGACAGTGGCTGCACCTTGTAGGATATGCCACAAAACAGACAAACGGGGCTGAGGTAAGCATGGCCAGGGCCCGCCTCAGGGCGTCAGGGAGGGCCTCTCTGGGCAGGTGACCTTCAAGCTAAGACCTAGGAGATAAGAAGCAGCAGCAGGAAGAGTATCTGGCAGAAGGCCGAGCCTGCACGATGTGGCCCCCTTTCCCACCCTCCAGGGCCCACCACCTGCTTCCCCGGGACGGGCCTGGAACATGGAGGCCATGTGCAGAGCAAGGAGTTCAGGCCCCAACACTGACGCACGATCTTCTCCCCTCAGCCCAGCGTGTCTGCAGCTTGTCCACACGGCTGAAGCCACAGGGGAATGTTGAGCCCTTCCCTGTGCTCAGCTGCCGCGTTTGGCTCTGTTCCTAAACCTTAGTAGCCCCTGGGGCTCTGGGCCAGGTGACCCAGCTTTGAATCCGTGCTGTGTGAACCCAGGCAGGTCACCTCACCTCTCTGGGCTCTTTTCCGTCAGCAGAGGGAGAACCTCGGCCTCACTAGGTTGCTGTGAGAACAAGTGGATGCTGCTGGTGCCCTGGGTGCAGGGAGCGCTTCCTCCTTGTTCTGGAGACTCAGATACCCCCAGAATGTTCTTGAGCAGAGGTGTTGGTGAGCAGCCCCATGGCAGGAACTGTGGTGTTCAGTGAACAGTCACTGCATTTTGATGGGCAGCATGAAAGGGCGATTCCCGTGACCCACCTGCACTCAAAAAAAAAAAAAAAACCAGCAAAACTCACTACACAAACATCGTAGAAAGATTAGGAAGTAAAGAAAAGCAGAAAGAAAAATCGTTCGCCATCCTGCCCTCCAGAATGAGTAGTTCTATTTTTTCTAGGCCTTTTTCTGTGAATATATAGAATATATATATTTTGCAAATGCAGTATTAATATCATGCCATATATACTGTTTTCTTATAATCTGCTTTTGCACTTAACTATGTGTTGTGAACCTCTTTCCATGTCAACAAATACACTCTTATCTCATCGCTGTGCCTGCTTGCATCGTATTGCACGTGTGCTTTGTTGATCCGAGCTGTCGTGGCTGGGTACTTGGGGTTTGTGTCCATTTGGAATCTTAATTACAAATAATAGAAACCAACTCTGTCAACTCCAGCAGCAACCGCACCAACAAAAAGAATGTACTGATACGCGTGAACAGCCAGACCTCAAAACAGACTAGAAAGGATTCGGCCAGGGACGCTGCTAGAACCAGGGGTCAGCCCCGCTAGGCACCCCCGTCAGGATGGCTGCATCCAGATACTGGGTCTCCTTTCCTTCTGGCCCAGCCTGGGTCACGTGCCCACCTTAGCCAAGGGCAAGACCTGGCATCTGGACTGACAGACCCACCAAGACCCCGTGCAACGGATGACTGGCTGTTCCAGGGAGGAAAAAAATGAGGTTTGTTACCAAAATAAGAGAACTGCAGGCTGGATAAGCAAAAACAGCAGGACTGTTTACAGTTCGCTTTGATTTTTTTCAGTATTACGGAGTTATGAAAAGCATAGTTAACCATTCCTCCTTTCTCCCTTGTCCAGTATTTCCTTAGAATCAGCTCCTAGAATGTCTGTCCATCTCAAAGCCACTTTGCAATTCCCTGCTGGGCCCATGTCTCTGTCCCCATGTCGCTGTCCCCCTCTCGTCTCCCTCCACAGCATTCCCGTCCTCTGCTTTATTGCTAGGAGGAAATTGTAAAAGCAAATATTTTAAAATTTATCCTCCAGGAGGGCCCTTACAGGTGGAAAAATATCATCCTTTTGGCAACTTAACTCCATTGCAGGGATAAAAATAAGTAAGACCAAAGGTAGGCTGAGGGGAGACAGGAATTAAGGGATGAGTCATCCCCAGTGAAGGGAGGAGAGAGCTCAGCAAGCCACAGAAGCTGAACCCAGAACTTCCCCCTGGAGCAGCCCTCCCCTTCCCCAGCTGGGGGTCCTGCGGCTGCCATGCTCATCTCAAGCTTCATCTTCGCCCTCGCTGAGGATGGAACCACCTTTTGCACCTGTTTTCTTCATAGATGGGCGTGATGCCGGTTCCTTCCCAGAAAGCTTCCTCAGCACCTGGCTCCAGGCACTGAGACCTGTGGAACATCACGCCCCAGAGAAGGGGGAGACATGGTCCTTTCCTAGGTGCCTCCCTTTAAATGATGTGTGTTTGTTCAGACCGGCCAAAGGCACTGGGAAGAAAAACAAAAGTGGAAACTCTGATTTAAAGGCAGCATCCCTGAGATCCGAGATGTGATTCTCAGTTCTGTTCACTTTGCTTTGGGGAGGGTGACCGCATTGTGGTTTGAGGAGGTGCTGGAGCTGGAGGATGGGCCAGTTCCCTCCCCCCCAAACCCCCACCCCCAGTTTTCCCCCTGGGGGTCTGTCCTTGGAAGAGTGGTCATTGATCACGTGGCACAGAGACGCTCAGCTCTCTGTGACTCATGCTTAATCATGTACTATGGGGTGGGGGGGTGATGCTATTTTTTGGATCTGAAAATATCTGTTTGGTTTCCTATATTTGGAGCAGTATTTTGTTCTTGCTCAGCCTGTCTCTTAAGTCAGAGCTTCTCAGACTTGATGTGCACAGGAATCACCTGGGGATCTTGTTAAAATACAGGTTCGTATTCAGTGGATCTGGCACGGAGCCCAAGATTCCACTTTTCTAACAAGCTCCCAGGAGATGCTGATGCCGCTGGTCCTTGGGCCACGTTCTGAGGAGCAAGGCCTCGGCTAGTGGCCGCTCCTTTGACTGCTGCCTCTTATTTGCATCCCTGGAGCTGTAACTGCTCCAGAGTGGCATTGAGGGTCACAGGTGTCAGGATGGTATCTATAGGTGCCTTGACTGCAGAGGGGCCTACCTTGAAACAGGTGTGTCTATCACTTGTGTCAGTGGCTCCCCCTCCCCCAGGACAGTCAGGATAAGACAGGAGCAGGCTGCTGGTGGCTTAACACAGTGCTGTCCGGTAGGGTGGCCACATGTGGATCTTGAGCACTTAAAATGTGGCAAGTGCAACAGAGGAACTGAATTTTAAATTTTATTTCATTTTAATTAAATTTCAATAGCCATGTATGGTTACTGGCTGCTGGGGTTTTTCTGTTCGTTGTTTTTTATTTATTTGTTCATTTGTTTGTTTGTTTTCTGAGACAGGGTCTCACTCTTTCGCCCAGGCTGAAGTGCAGGGGCCCGATCATAGCTCATTATAACCTCGGACTCCTGGGCTCAAGCGATCCTCCTGCCTCAGCCTCCTGAGTGGTTGGAACCACAGGCATGCTACCACACCCAGCTAACTTATTTATTTTTTGTAGAGATCGGGTCTCACTATGTTGCCCAGCTGGTCTCAAACTCGTGGGCTCAAGTAATCTTCCCACCTTGGCCTGCCAAAGTGCTGGGATTACAGGCATGAGCCACCATGCCCCAGCCCTGGCTACCATTTTGAACAGCAGAGAATTAGAACTTAGAAAATGAGTACCCTGCTCATACCTCACCGGACCTCCACCACCTGCATCATTACAAAACTAGTCTTAGCACAAAACATATTGTTTGGGGACTCAAAGTTTCCCTTGAACATACCTGCTTATTTTTATATTCATTCCAGCCTCTGTTTTCAGCACAAGCTTCAAGTTTTTGTTTTGTTTTGTTTTTTCTGTTTATCTGCAGCTAGGTGTGCATTAGGTCAGGTTGAAGGCAAGAGGGGCAGAGTGGAGCCTTTGAAATCAGAGGGACCTGTCCTGCCCTTTCCCTGGGCTGCGTAGCCTTGAGCAAGCCCCTTCACCTCTCTGAGCCTCTGCTTCTCCATCCGTGGCAAGGGAGAGTGGTTTCAAGGGTTGTGCACCCCCCCATGTAGGAACTCAATACATAGTAGCGATGATTGTTATTGTTCCTATGTAAACCTCTTTGTAAACTATAAAACCTTGCACCAATGTGAGGCAAAATACTGCTGTCAAAAATTTTTCTTTTTAAACAAAATGCTCTGAAACTTGGAGGAAACTACATCAACCAGGCCCAGGAGACAAACCAAACTCTCCAAGCAATAAATCTGAATGCTTTCTGCTTTTCCCATCGAGCGAGCATTTTGCCGTTAGCCCTGCAACTATGGAAATTGGGATGAAGATTTGTTGATTGTCTAAGGTCTTCCAGGGACCAGCCTGCTGGGGGTGGGGGGGACACTTGGGCAGGGCCAAGGACTGAAGGAAGACGCTGAGAGCCTGCGCAGGAATCTGGCAGAGAGGCACCTCTACTCTGGGGGAGATTTGAGGTCCAGTTCGTTTTTCCTCTTCACGGATTCCCTGGTAAATCCTTCCTACAACTTTAGCGGGGGCAGGAAAAGATAGCACCCCCATTTACGGAGGAGGGAACTAAGGCCTCAAGAAGTTTGCTCAGGTCAAACAGCTGTTCCTGGCCTCTGGGCAGCCCCCACAGAGGCCTGCCTGGGGCTCCCTGCCATGCCTCCTACCCTCATGTAGATGACCCAAAGTCCAGGGTGACCATCCCACTCATGACATTTGCTCATGACAGTTTAGTTTTAACCTGTTGTTCCAGCATA